ACCTCTCACCGCTGACCCTTGACCCTAAGGAGCAGGAACGTGTGCGAGCCGCTCTGATTGAGCTTAGGAATAAGGTGCTTTGATGCCCACAGTGATTAAGTCGCCATAGTCCCAAAATCTATTTGCAGGTTGTCTCCACTTTCTTCATGGTTAACGTCGTCTTTATCATCATCATCCTGGTGCTACAGCTGCAGAAAGACTGTCTTCATATAGAATGGCCTATTGGACCTAAGTACAATCACACAGTGCGTCCTTGTCATGGAGATATCAAAGAGGTCAGTTATTCACTTTATGTCAAAGACAAAGCAACATTTCTACCTTCTTACAGGAGATTTGGGTGGTGACTCGACTCCAGTTGGAACCTCTTGGACTAGTATTTCTGATCTTCTTTATGAGTATTCTCATTATCCAGGTAGGTTATTTGAGTCATTTTGGTAATAGAGCAACTTACCTCAAAATTATAGTTCTTCGCAATGCTTTGCCATCGATTTGGCACTTTGGCTCACATCATAGCTTCAACGGAATTGTTTTGCTTCCGTAAGACGATTGGGAAGTTAAGTGAAGATGAGTTAGTCGTCCAGAATGCTGTGGAAATTGCTAGGGAACTGCAGGCGATCCGTGGGGTTGATGAGTCAAGGGACGACGGACAGGTAGTTGCCTAAGGGGAACCGACAGTGTAGTTTGAAAATTGGTTTCCAGGGAGAGCAGATCGGCCGCCGTCGTGTCGTTCAGAACCTGGAATCCTCGCGTCTTTCTCTAATGAAACGGAAAACGGAAACTCTTGATGCAGCTTTCAAAAAAAGGTCACACTTACTCAACCTTCATAAAGTAAGGTCAAGTAGGAACAGGTCGTTAATTTTTGTTGACATTTAGGTTTTTTGCCCTCTCTAGCGAGGTTCAAGAACCAGGTTTTTCCTCAAGAGACAGCCGACGTCGGTTAACATTAACAAAAGGCACTATTCGTGCTTTGGAAAATAGGAGGGACTCTTTATTTGGAACCATGGAAAAAAAGGATCAAGTGGGTGATGAGCACATCTTC